TGCCCGCAAAGTGTCCTCCAGAAGGCCCCAAGACGACACCAAGACGCCACCAGCATCACCAAATATAGCAAAAGAGCACACATCGGTCCCAGGATGCCCCCAAGGAGTCCTCACGATGGCCCCCCAGGATGCCCGTATAAATACCCCAATGTTGCCGAATATGGCCGCAGAGGTGGCCCCAGAGGCCTCAAGGTGCCCCAAAGAGCCTCCCGCGTTGCACGCCGCGGTTCCAATAAGCCCTCAAATCAGGCCCAGTCTGGAGTCCCAGCTCTGTCTGGTGTGCTGGCGGAAGAGGGCGCAGCCCTTCGGATAGTTCTCCCAGACCTCAAAAGTAACATGGTGTCGCGAGAGGACCGTACCCTCTGGGTCCCGCTCCTTCTCGGCCTCCGAGCAGTCTTGTGTGAAGGGCTGGCAGTTCCCAAGGGCGTACACCGCGTGGGAGGAAGAGCCGAAATCGGGAGCGATGTCGGTGGTGTAGCCGAGGACCTCCTCCGCGATGATCTTCATGACGTGGGCGAGCACTTTAGATGAGGCCCATGAGGCGCTCAGCAGGCCGAGGGGCATGTTCTGCCCTCCCGAAGTCATGATATTCTTGCGTTCGTTCGGGAGCTTGGGGCTCTTGCCTCCGGGAATATGGCCGATCTGCAAGCAAGTCGTCACGTTGGACACGCTCGCCGAAGCCGACGCCGAAGCCACTGCGCCGAAGAGGCCGCACACGAACCTCACCGTCGCCATTCTTCCATTGGCTGGGCTCAAAAAAATTGCGTATCACGGTCGAAGCGCGCAAAGCTGCACGAACCCCCATCAGTAATGTAGGCACGCAGCACCTGGAGCCCACACGTCTCACTACGGATATCGCCCAGTGTCAGGCCGATCCTGGTTTCGGTTCAACTGGTGTCCCCCCCGTGCTTGACAGCTCCACTGGCTATGGTTTCTCGATGCGCCGATGGAAATTGCGAGGCGTGAAAAATGTCACAGAAAAGGTGTAAATTTAACTAGAGCCATCGGGCGCGTGAAGCCCGCTCAGGTTCCCCCTGCCCTGGGAGAGAGAGAAAGAGAGAGAGAGAGAGAGAACGCGCCCGAATTAGCGGGAACCGTGGGTTTCAAGGCCAAGGCGCTATTCAGGTTAGTGCTCGGGTCAGGGCGATGGTAGC